TTGTCAAAAGCAAAAAAAGTTAATTTCATGCTTTCAGGAGCCCTGAAAATATAACCGCTCCCTGGAAAACATTTTCTATAATATGATGAAATATTTGTGTTGGGAAAGAGCAGTTATTTTAAAAAGACATCAATGGAAAAACATGCTTTTTGACAGCATAATGATGCAGTTATGACATCCACCAGCAGCCATGAACAGAGCACAACAGTGACTAGCCACTTTTTCAGAGGCCTTGGTTCCAGAAGTATTTTTCCCATTCATTTTCTCGTTGAAACATTTCTTTGATAAAGAGTTCTTAATAAAAAAAAGCAAACTAAACTATTATATTTATTATTATAAACTATGCTTTAAAGCTAAAAAAGCATAATCATATAATGGTATATAATATTCTATATTATTATATATTATATTCCACAAAAAATATTAAGCACAACTGTTTTCAACATTAATAATAATAATACATGTTTCTTGAGCAGCAAATCAGTATATTATATATATTTCTGAAGGATAATGTGACGCTGAGAAATGATGCAAAAAATTCAGCTTTGCATCACAGGAATAAACTACATTTTAAAATATATTAAATTTATATTATATACATTTCTTTGCTTTCCCACAGCACAGCTTACTCTTGCTTAGCGTGCTCCGATCGGCCGCAGCTGTTCTCCACCCTCTCCAGCAGAGCTCCATTACATAACGTTACAGAGTGATTGATGTGCTCTCAGATTTCTGCACACTACCAAGTGTCCATTCTCTCTCTCCTCGGTCCAGTCTTCTGCATAAACTTTCCCATCTCCTGTTGCTTTCTCACCTCAGTCTATTCTTCTTCAGAATAGGACAACGAGGAGATAAAGCAAATACTGCAGAAACAGAAATTATAAGACAGTCTGCTGGCGGGGCACAAGTGCAAAATCTGAGTCATCCAGTTTTATGAACTTAATCTAATTCATGTCACAACATGCACCAAGCTAATGAAATGACATATATTGCACTTGCTGCACACAGAAAGGTCTCCTGAGGAGACTTTTTTCTAGCGAATGTTACATTTTTTTGCATTACTGCTCACTCACTACTGGGTTTTCTGCACTAACTCGGAGTGTTACTCAATTCTGATATGTGTCCAGACCATTAAACATCTGTTATCAGGATTTTTCCACTCTTATCAGATCAAATGTTTGAACATTACTGTGCAGCAGAAAAGAAACGAACAGACTTTGCAAGAGAAGGGACAGGGAAAACTTCTGTAATGGGTTTCATGGGGATAGTGAACCGTTCTTTCTTTGACGTCACGTCATTGAACAGGAGACTCACAGAACCAGCTTTAGTGCTTCTTAGGGACTGTTACGACACTCAGAGGTGTAGAGAGACACGCTCACTCTTAATCAAACTTTCAGCAGACTGTAATAATTTACCCTGAGAGGTGACATATGCTAATTAATATTCAGTAGTGTTTGCAAAAGTAGCATTACTATTGCTTTAGCTCATAGAGGTAAAGATTTGAATCTTAACTCTTAAGTACATTACATTTGAGCACATAACTCATCCTACACTCTTTGTGCTGTATGCACATGAGCAATAGTTCAACTATCTGGCTAGTTGTGTAGTATTATATACATATTCAGAAGATCAGACATATAACTTTCACCAAGCAGGTCATAAAATGGCCAAAAAAAATCTCATTATCTCAGCCATCGAGGGACCAGAAAATCCTACACTGTTTCTCATTCTGCCTCAGAGTAAAATATAAAAAAGTAATTGTAAAATAAATTGAAAAATAATAAACAGTGCTTGGTATTAACTAATTAACTTGAATCTGGATTGCATAAACTAAAGCTTAAACAAACTAAAGTACTTGTAATTAAATTCCTGACATTTTAAAATAATGAGCCGTTACCATTACATATTCATTCGTTGGCAGTAAATTCATCATTTATTGATTATCTGATATCGACTAATGGTCACATGACATAATAAACAAAATATTTTAAAGTTTATTTTGATTGTTTATAATAAAATGATTTCTTTCTTTAATTGAAAATTTTTATGATACATTATTAGCTTTTCATCAACCCCAATTTGGTGTACTTCATGTTGTTGATAAAAATATAATATATTTTCTTTCTTTATAATTTTATATATTATATTTTATGTTTTCATATAGATCTTTCATAGCATTTCTAGTTGTTTAAAGGGGTCATATGATGTTGCTAAAAAGAACATTATTTTGTGTATTTGGTGTAATGAAATGTGTTTATGCGTTTTAAGGTTAAAAAAACACAATTTCCACATACTGTACATTATTGTTTCTCCTCTATGCCCCGCCTTTCTGAAATGCGTCGATTTTTACAAAGCTCATCGGTCTGAAAAGTGAGGTGTGCTCTGATTGGCCAGCTATCCAGTGCGTTGTGATTGGCCGAATACCTCAAGCGTGTGACGGAAATGTTACGCCCCTTACCATATTGTGATGATGCCCTGTCAGGCCAGAGCGATGATTCAAAAACATGAAAACCCATTATAAACGAAGCATTCGTGGCATCCAGTGGGGACATAATTATGTATTATAATGACTTCTACTGTCTTTTTAAACATAAAACCATGTCTGCATTTGTGATCGGAGAAATGACAAACAAGAAGCCCTACTCTAAACTGCCCAAAAAACTCACTTTAAATATATTAAATATAAAAACTCTTTAAATATAAAAAAT